ACATTGTTGCGTTGCTTTTGAAATAACACTATCATGTGTTGCCGTCAACTATTAAAAAAAGTCGACTTAAGTTGGATGCATGTGCAGTTCCAACCCAATTTGAAAATACAAGACAACATTCTATTCTGCTGGAAATGCAACACTTGACAATTCTTAATTTCTGTACAAACATGACTAAGGAAGACATCCACACATTTTTTAAAAGTTTGTATGTAGTTCTCGTTGCAGCTCATATGCTTGTATCTCATGAGATCAAAGATTTTGTAAGTAGGAGAAGGATTGGGCTGTTTTCAATCGAATGTCACAATACTTTAAGTATATTCATTTTATGCTACCAATGATCCTTATGTGCTTGAAAATGTACAAACCAAAAGGTTAGTATATTTTATTTGAGAACCCTCAAGTGTTTTATCTTCTTTTCTGTGAAGGTCATAAGGGAAGGTTGCTTGATGGACGTTACCTTATCCTGACGTAGCAATATATATCCAATTACAATTGTAATGTTTGCTAGAAAATATCAACAGAAACTGATGAAATAATAATAATAATAATAATAATAATAATAATAATAATAATAATAATAATAATAATAATAATAATAATAATAATAATAATAATAATAATAATAGTTTTGCACTAACATGGAAATTAATACCACATCTTCTATGCAGATAAACCCTTTAGTAGGTGAAAACTGGTTTGCTTTGTTTGTGGAAGTAGTCTGGTCTTTGTTCTGTCGTTGTTTTCTGACAGTGTCATCAATGTATAAATCCTAGAACCTAGTGAATGATATTTCTTGTCATTATGTCCATAATTGTTATAGTCGAAGATCATAACTCCTTCACTATATTTAGATTAGATGCTTTTAGGTGAAACAGACAAACTGGAAACACAATGAAGCTTGCATGTTCATTTCATTTGATATGTTAATGGACATTGTCATTTATGTCCTCTTTGTCTTGATGATGGCAGGGTAATTGGCCTGCTTCACTTAAAGAGTACGTCCTTAAGTCAAGGTCCCTTTCTCTTCCCCGTGATCAGGCTGATCTGCAGGAGGTATCTGCCTCTGCGCATGATTCGTATTGTTTTAATACTTTGTTCCCTTTACTGGAAAATCCTTCTAGTTGGGTTATACGCAAGTGATTTAGTTGAAGACAGTCCAAGTCTTTGCTCCAATCCCTGAAAATCATTCATAAGGGTATTCTACGCTGTTGTTCTTTGAGGGTACAAGGATCTTAAGGACGTGTCTTTGAAAATACTATTTTGTTGTTCTTTGTCAATTTTAAGTTTTAACTGACTGAAAGGAGAGATTCCCTTGCAAATTTTTAAGGAGAACAAATTCTAGAAGTGAGTTTATTTCTTTGCCGTTGCAGGCTTTCCCAGGTCTGAGAGCAGCACCACTGAACAGTGTCCTTGCCCAAGGCATGAATCAGAAGAAAAAACATGAGGTAGATTCGGATTCTTCCAAGCTAGATGTCAATCTTTTGAATAGCTTATGATATGGAATTATGGAACTTAGATGGATAACTTATGAGGTACATGTTATTTGCTTCAGTAGACAGAAGCTCTTGCTGCTGTTATTGGTTCCATTGCTAGGAGAGTTGGGGCGGACACTATTGTGGATGTTGGCTCTGGTCAAGTGCGATATCACTCGACTTTATCGCAAGTTTAAATTAAGTGTTGACTTATTTTTGCTGTCTCTCAACATTTTGTTTGTTATTTTCTCATGCCAATTTGATTACTTGTTCTGATTTGGTTTAGGGTTATCTTTCTCAAGTTCTTTCATTTGAATATGAGCTTTCTGTCATAGCAATTGATGCCTCTTCCCATCATGGGAGCATTACTGATGGACGGGCCAAGCGTATTGAGAAGTACTATGCATCTAAAATACGCAAGTCTCGGTATGAGATTAAGTTGATAAGTTACTTATTTACTCTGTCTTGAGATCCATGGACACTGTTACTCTGTCATTATCTCTCCCTTTTTCCGTCTTTTCTTCTTCGTCTTCTCTTTTAACTGGTTGTTATTGCAAAGAGCACGTACTTTTTGTTTACAATTTGGTATTTTAGTTTAAATGAATGATTGTTTTTTTAATTACATAGGTAATATTGAATCTCCTGTCGTTCATTAGTTGTTCATTCACCTCTATTTTTTGTGGCCAACTTTATTCGACATTTTCATATGAACTGCTTCTGCTGATCTGTATATTGATTTATTGCTAACATGTTGTATCCTCTTGCTTCTTACATTGGGTTATTAATTTATTCTTAATTTATGTGTGTTGTCTTAGTGTCTTACGTACCTTTATCTTGTTTGAGAAAATTCTGTTTTGATTTTTTTGAGCTTATAGATAACATGTATTTCTCACCAGATCGGAGAATAAAAGTTTCAGCAAGCCAAGAACAGTCACATGCCGAGTGCTATCACCTACCACGTTGAAAGATATCAGCATCTCCCTGGTGCAAGTAAATGACTCGGAGAATCCAGCTATTTTTAGAGACAAGACTGATGAGCAATGTTCAGAAAGGACTTCCAGAAGTGAATCTTCCCCTCCCCTTAAAACAAAGAGCTCTTCATTGGTTCTGGCTGGGCTTCATGCATGTGGAGATTTATCGGTGACAATGATTAGGTTAAAGTCACAATCTGTTTATGTTTTTGGATTCATTTGACGTCTTCATTATTTATAGACATGTAAGAGAAGCAGTGATTAAACTGGCGTGGAGCACCCCAAGGCGATAAGCCTGTTATTTTCCAAGGCGTGAGGTGAGGATCGAAGTGAGGCGAGCCAATAGGCAGAAATAAGATATATGAAAATGAACAAAATACATAAAATCTTTTTTAATACAAAAAAGAAGTAACAAATGAGTTTTTTACACAAACAAGAGCCTCAAATTCTTGACTATTATAACTAGTTTTGAGCCACCGTTTGCTGGAAGACCGCTAAGATGAGGTCCCAGGCTTGAATGAAGGAAGAGAACAAGCCAATTGAGGGTTTGGTTGGGGAAAGTGATTGAGATGCATTTTTTGAAAACTCTGAACCGATGCCCCAAAATTACGGTTACTGCTCTGACTAATAGAGGTGAGTGCCTTGCTGAGGCACCCTACTTGTGAGGTGAGCGCCTTCATGACGCCTTTCACACGTAGGCTTCTTCATGTTCACGCAATGGGCGTTGCCTTTTTAATCATTGAAGTGAAGTCCTAGTTATATGCAGTTGTAGTTAGTTTTCCCAGGTTGCTAGTCGGACCATGAAATTTGTGGTGTTCTGTTATTTGAGCTTTAAACATATTAGTGGTTGTATTTTGATGTATATTGTTTAGATGAGCTCATATTGAAGCTTCTGCTTGTGGATTGCTTATTTATTGGCTAACTTTTAGTTATTTGGATCTAGGACCTTTTTGGAATGTAATGAGGTGAAAGCATTGGTGAGTATCGGTTGTTGTTATAACTTACTATCCGAAGAAGGCGTCAAAGAGGCTGATAGTCGATGTGGCTTTCCAGTGAGTACAGGTGCTAAATCTGCATGCTTACAACTAGGAAAA